GATCGGAAGAGCACACGTCTGAACTCCAGTCACGCCGCAACATCTCGTATGCCGTCTTGTGCGCAAAAAAAAAAAAAAAAAAAATAGTGCTTACTCAGACTGTCAGCCCCTGGGAGCACCCATGGCCTACCTGTGCAAATACTTAGACCCAGTCACTAAGGGCTTCCTCACCCTTTGCCTCAACACTCTAATAGCTACTATTCCTCTGATTAAAATACTGACAAGCTCTCCTTGGGCCAAGACCTAACTTCACAGGTGCCACACACTGTCCTCACCCAGCATGAAGGGCAAAAAAACCTCACCTGACTCTTGTTGTTGTGCCACTCACTCCTGCCACATACCTGCACACAGTGCTGGACCCAACAGAACATGACTGCCTGGCACTGTCTGATAAACTGCTCTTGAGCCAATCAAATTTAAAAATTAAATCCCCCTGAGATGCTGAGTACACCTTGTTTATGGATGTAATAACTGTTAGGACAGGTTAGATAAACTGTGGTCACCTTGGACAAAGTTATTTTGGCCAAAGCTCTCCGACTACTGCTTTCTACTTCTGTTTGGAAGCCTGCCACCAATGATGTAGAACCAGACCTGTGCTCATGGTATACTCTGCAAGCTCAAGCCGCTGGCACCCTTAACCCGGCAGCCAATTCAGGCTTCAGAATCTGTCACCAACCTTGGTCTCCCATTTCCTACCCATACTGAGAAAACAATAAAAATTTGTATGGTCCTGCTGTAAAAAAATCAACTCTAGATATGGCCTACCCTTGATCATCAATAGTGACAAGGGGCCTGAACTTGTAGTAGAGGTAACTCAAAAATTAAATTAAATTAAATATACATAGAGTCTGTGATCAGTTAGAAGACCAGCTATATCTGTATACATTCCTGCACATACATAGAATCCAGACATATATTAACTACCTCTACAAGTTTCAGAAATCCATCTTTAGATACACTGAAAAATTTGGACAGCTCCTTCGAGGCTCACTCTGAAGAGACAACATATTCTGACCAGTCCATAAAGGGCTGAATCCTGAAAACAATCCCTGTTCACAGAATTGCTTCATACTATTCCTCTTGATTTTTTGTCTTTCTAGGCTGGTTACCTGACTCCTTGCTTTCCTGTTAGCTGTGGGTTTTGCTTTAAACTATATGAATGGTTGCCCCAAGAGAATAGAATAATCAATCAAACACTTGACCAAGGTACAATGAGCATCCAAGCACAGTGGACACTCTCCTAGGTCAGATTAATTCCCTCACTACCTTGCCACAGTAATGTTACAGAACACACTGGCCAAAAAAGCAACTCAGGTAAAAACTCTGTAATAAGATAATCTTGGGGACCTTGGCTACAATCAAAGGATCACTGCACGGACTGGTTGGTTACTGAGGGTTACTCTTCAGAGCAACCCTCAGAGGAACTGTGCCAGTAAATTTTTTTCCCATAATTTTATTGAGAAACAAATAGCAATGAGACAGTTTCAAATCAAATCGGTAGGACAGTTTCAATAATTAACACATTGCATACATTCTTCCTAGTGGTTAATTGCTATACAAGATGTGGACATGAAATCTTATTTACAAACACTATTAGAACAAATTCCTCTATTCATTAAGAGAATGTAACTATATATCTATCCTAACCATTTTGAATACACAGATACAAAATGGACATTCATTTGTATCCCCTTTTTTGTTTAGTTCCATTATTTGAATATTATAGGTATGTTAACTCAGCAAAATATTCTGAAAGAGTCCAGTAGTCCATAATAGTATTGGGTCTTCCACTTGACTGGAAATGTCAGAAATTGTTGACCTGAGTCCCCTACAGCTCAACATAACAGCATGGCTTTATTTCTTATATTTCGTTTTTATACTTTTCTGCTGGATGGTTAAGACCAAGGTAAAGCAGGACCTATTCAACAAGAGTTGTAGCTTTTGGGTCTGATAAGGTCAGTGAAATCCCCTCGGGATTTATCCTGAGATCCTGTACCTCAGATTGTAGAACCTTTGTCAGTGTCAGCCATGGGGATGAGTCACAGCCATTGCTTGGCCAATGTGCTCTCTGTGAAAGCCTGAGAGAATGTTTTCTCTCCATGTGACTCTCCTTAGAAAACCATTTAACTTTAGACAAAACTTTCTGTTGTACAAATACAGCCAAAATGCAAATTCCTGTCTGGAAAAGGTAATATTGAGAGATAAAGACATATAACTCCTTGCAGTGAATGTGATCATTATATATTGTAAATATATACTAATAAAAATTTTAAAATATCAATATTTCAATCCATGAAAAATAGCTACAATATGAAAAACTGGAATATCCTTGCCTTGATTGAATTGTGCCATAGTTGTGCTGGGGTTAGTAGAAGAGAAAATAAGGACAGCATGTGTACATGTATAAAAAGAACTAGGAAGAAAAACATTTCTGAAATATGCAAGGAACTAAACCTTATCCTAAGAATAAATGTGCCATTTCCACTTTAGTATCTTGACATGTGACTTCTCTGATGAACACAAAGAAACCTGGTGGTTCAGGTCTTGAAAGTAGAGTGAGTATATCTTTTACGCAGACAGCCTAGACAGCCACTGTTCAGTCAAACATACAACTCACAGTCTTATATCAATCTATTTTTCTTTCTTGTATTCTTTCTTTGACATTTGGGGCCAGATTATTTCATTTATATTTAAATTAGAATCTTTAATTAAAAAGGATAGTGCTTAAAGTATGTTAACTCTGTTTGTGTCAACTACTTAGAAAAATAATAAAGCAAGAGAAAAGAAATAGAGTCAAAAGTAAAGAATTATAGAGAATGGGCATAGTGGCGCAAGCCTGTAATTCCAGCTCTTAGGAGGCTGTAAATAGGCGGATCACTACGAGTCCCATATAGTAGTGAGACCCTGAACACCCTGTAGACCCTTCCCTAAAATACAAAAAAAGAAAAAGAAAGAAAAGAATTATAAAGACAACCGCGGAGAGCAGGCGACTGACTGATCTGCGCTCCCGGGAAACGCGGCGGCATAGCGGAGCTGGCGGGGCCTGGGCTGACAGATAAGCGGGGCAGCCGGGTTGTCGAGCGAGCGGACTGGTGAGTGCGGGGCGCAGACATGATCACCTCAGCCACTGGAATTATTTCTCTTCTCGATGAAGAAGAACCACAGCTTAAGGAATTTGCACTACACAAATTGAATGCAGTTGTCAATGACTTCTGGGCAGAAATTTCTGAGTCTGTAGACAAAATAGAAGTTTTGTATGAAGATGAAGGTTTCCAGAGTAAGCAGTTTGCAGCCTTAGTGGCATCTAAAGTATTTTATCACCTGGGAGCTTTTGAGGAGTCTCTGAATTATGCTCTTGGAGCAGGTGATCTCTTCAATGTCAATGACAATTCTGAGTATGTGCAGACAAAATGCATCGATCACTATACCAAGCAGTGTGTGGAAAATGCAGATTTGCCTGAAGGAGAAAAAAAAACAATTGACCAGAGATTGGAAGCCATTGTGAATAAAATGTTCCAACAATGTCTAGATGACACAAGTATAAGCAGGCTATCGGCATCGCTTTGGAGACAAGAAGACTAGATGTCTTTGAGAAGACCATACTAGAATCGAATGATGTCCCGGGAATGCTAGCTTATAGCCTTAAGCTCTGTATATCTTTAATGCAGAATAAACAGTTCCAGAATAAAGTACTGAGAGTCCTAGTTAAAATCTACATGAACTTGGAGAAACCTGATTTCATCAATGTTTGTCAGTGCTTAATATTCTTAGATGATCCTCAAGCTATGAGTGACATCTTAGAAAAACTGGTGAAGGAAGACAACCTCCTCATGGCCTATCAGATCTGCTTTGATTTGTATGAAAGTGCCAGCCAGCAGTTTCTGTCCTCCGTGATCCAGAATCTTGGAACTGTGGGCACCCCCATTGCCTCTGTGCCTGGCTCCACCAACACAGGCACTGTTCCAGGTTCTGAGAAAGACAGTGAAATGATGGAGACAGAAGACAAGACAGGCCGTACACTTGCTGGAAAGACACCAGATGCGAGTCCAGAGCCCAAGGACCAGACTTCGAAAATGATTAAAATTTTAAGCGGTGAAATGGCTATTGAGTTACATCTGCAATTTCTAATACGGAATAATAACACAGACCTCATGATTCTAAAAAACACAAAGGATGCAGTACGGAATTCAGTATGCCACACAGCAACTGTCATAGCAAACTCTTTCATGCACTGTGGGACTACCAGTGACCAGTTTCTTAGAGATAACTTGGAATGGTTGGCCAGAGCCACTAACTGGGCTAAATTTACTGCTACAGCCAGTTTGGGTGTAATTCATAAGGGTCATGAGAAGGAAGCATTGCAGTTAATGGCAACCTACCTTCCCAAAGACACGTTTCCAGGGTCAGCCTACCAGGAAGGCGGGGGGCTCTATGCACTAGGGCTCATCCATGCCAATCATGGTGGCGACATAATCGATTACCTGCTGCATCAGCTCAAGAATGCCAGCAATGATATCGTTCAGCATGGAGGCAGCCTGGGCCTTGGTTTGGCTGCCATGAGAACTGCACACCAGGATGTTTATGATTTCCTAAAAACCAACCTTTACCAGGATGATGCTGTGACAGGAGAAGCAGCTGGCCTGGCCCTAGGTTTGGTTATGTTGGGCTCTAAAAATGCCCAGGCTATCGAGGACATGGTTGGCTATGCCCAGGAAACCCAGCATGAGAAGATCCTGCGTGGTCTCGCCGTCGGCATTCCCTTAGTGATGTATGGGAGGATGGAAGAGGTTGATGCACTCATTGAGTCTCTCTGTCAGGATAAGGACCCAATTCTTCGAAGGTCTGGAATGTATACAGTGGCCATGGCTTATTGTGACTCTGGTAACAACAAAGCTATTCGACGCCGACTACATGTTGCTGTCAGTGATGTTAATGACGATGTTAGGAGGGCAGCAGTCGAATCACTTGGCTTCATTCTATTCAGGACCCCTGAGTAGTGTCCCAGTGTGGTCTCTCTGCTGTCCGAGAGTTACAATCCCCATGTGCGCTACGGAGCTGCGATGGCCCTGGGCATCTGCTGTGCTGGTACAGGAAACAAGGAAGCTATTAATTTGCTAGAACCAATGACAAATGATCCTGTGAACTACATGAGGCAAGGGGCTCTCATAGCCTCCATGCTCATCATGATCCAGCAGACTGAGATCACATGTCCAAAGGTGAATCAGTTCCGACAGCTGTATTCCAAAGTTATCCATGATAAGCATGATGATGTCATGGCCAAGTTTGGCGCTATTCTGGCCCAGGGCATACTAGATGCAGGTGGCCATAATGTTACAATCTCCTTACAGTCCAGAACCGGGCACACACATATGCCTTCTGTGGTTGGCGTCCTTGTCTTTACCCAGTTCTGGTTCTGGTTTCCTCTCACATTTTCTGTCATTGGCTTATACCCCTACCTGTGTCGGCCTGAACAAAGATTTAAAGATGCCGAAGGTGCAGTATAAATCAAACTGTAAACCATCCACATTTGTGTATCCTGCACCTCTGGAAGTACCAAAAGAAAGGTTAGATACCAACCTTTCAAGCCACTGTCCATCGGAGGAAAAGATTTCTACTGCTGTGTTGTCTATTACTGCCAAATCCAAAAAGAAGGAAAAAGAAAAAGAAAAAAAAAGGAGGAAGAGAAAATGGAAGTGGATGAAGCAGAGAAAAAAGAAGAAAAAGAGAAGAAAAAGGAACCTGAGCCAAATTTCCAGCTGTTGGATAACCCAGCCCGAGTTATGCCTGCCCAGCTGAAGGTCCTTACCATGCAAGAGACCTGTAGATACCAACCTTTCAAGCCACTGTCCATCGGAGGCATCATCATTCTGGAGGACACCAGCGAAGACATTGAGGAACTGGTGGAACCTGTGGCAGCACACGGCCCCAAAATCGAGGAGGAAGAGCAAGAGCCAGAGCCCCCAGAGCCCTTTGAGTATATCGATGACTAAGGGACCAGACGGGCTCTGGCCACTCAAAGCCCGGCCAGCTATGGAGAGTGCGGCCAGCTGTGGAGAGCATGCAGCGGGAGCCCTCGCAGGACCAGCAGGACCATCTCCTCCATGCATGTGGCCTCGCTGTGCGCTCACCTCAAGAACTCGTCTCTGGGACTGGTGAGATGCTCAGTGATCTAAAGCACCTACTTAGAACAAGCTTAGCAAAGCACAGGGACCACGGTTCAATCCCCCAGCACCACATGCCAGCCAGCCCCACCC